TTCACTTGTTTCATTACTGGATGAATCAGCGTTTTTGAACAATTCTCTTGAATTAATAATTCATTCAATGACAAATAAATTTTTAAGTCACTTTTCGCCACTACAACGCAATCGACAAACGTTATTTGAAGCGCAGTTACTTTCAAATGGGGATTTGCTCCATTTTGATCGCTGCCATATAAACATCAATGTTTATATCTGAACTATAAACTTTCACCCCAGTATTTCTGTGATAATATGAATGACTGTAAGACCGAAATAACACTGTGTAGTTGAAAAGACAGTTTGTGACGATGTTTCTTAACCAAACATTGTAAGTAACTGCTCTCTTTGTGTCAGCGGCAGTGCGAACACAGATTTGAATGATCTGGTAAGACTTTGTCAGAGGTTTAATTGACTCGGGGAATCATTGTCATTTAGAAATGAGATCGCGTGGGTGTCTGAACGAGATCGCGATCTTTTAACGATTAATCGTGCAGCTCTAGTAGACTGCATAATTTTAACAGAGTTTGCAACCACCTAGGGATCATTTTGAAACTATTTAAAAATGAATTTGTAAAACCTGAAAAGAAAGATCGCTGCTTACCTTCAGCTGGTGGCACTTCGATTCAAGATGGCTGGGTGGCGTTACAAGCTTTTACTGACAGCTTAAGGATCCAATGGAGTTTTGACGTTTGTTCACACGGTCATTTTAATGCTTTCATTGTTAAATATTCACAAAACCCACATAAAGACATAAAAGGTAACCAATAGTAATGATTCATGAAAAAAATTAAATTGACAAAATATGGAGTTATAAGGTTTTTGCCCAACAGCCACGACATGTTCCTTATTCTTCTATAAAGAACCAGGATTGTCCCTTCTTAAAAATCCATCATGCTCCCTAAGGTCTCAAAACTCTGGACTTTTGGTAGTACCTAGGATAGCAAAGTCCACTAAAGGAGGTAGAGCTTTTTCGCATTTAGCTCCCAAACTCTGGAATAGCCTTCCTGATAACGTTCGGGGTTCAGACACACTCTCTCTGTTTAAATCTAGATTAAAGACACATCTCTTTGGCCAAGCATTCAAATAATGCATCTCATAATCTTGTACTCCAGTTACAACAATTACAACAAAGGCCTACAGGGGGCGCCAACGGCCTGACGATTGTTTTTACACATTACTGTGCGATCTAATACTTGTTTTATATTGACCAAGCACCATTTCATTCAAATATCCACTTAATCTTTCATATTTGGCCATTTCTTTAGGACAGAAATGCTATAGCTACTGTAATTTAATGAATATGTGGCCATCAAAACGTGTAAACTCACGTGTAAAGAATACATCGTTTCAAAATAAAAGCTCAAACCCTCACTCCAGAGTTTGCGTAGATTTATAAATGATTTACTTCACAAATCTGATGAAATGGCGCACGTTGCGTTCCCAGATGAACGTTATAATAAACCCAAACTCACAATAACATGCAGAGATGGCGTTTGAGACGCTCCACACACATGTACATGATAACAGTTCCTGTGGAACTACTGTGAACAGAGCCGCTACGTGACGCATGTAAATAAAGCGCATATACTGTATAAGAACGGCATCGCATATAATTATTTAATTAAATCGTAGCGTTTGTGAATTCACAATTATGCTTAATTATTTTTAAATGGGTTTAATCGATCATGCAGCCTTGGAAAACAGACTAATAATGTGTTTTATACATTCTCGTCTGTGAAATGCGCCACTTCCGATATTTTGCCGGTTAGTCGACGCGAGCAAAATAAAGTCAAGGATTAAAAAAAAATTTGAATAGTCGAATAAAATCGACGAATCGTGACTAATATCTTTTGCTTGAAATATTACGAACAACAGATGCTAACTATTCTCTATCTGCTTTTCTGTTTCCAGCTCTGGGGTGCGTTTCCCAAAAGCATCGTTAGCTAACTATAGGGCCTTTCGCACCGCTTTAGTTCCAGAACTAAATGTACAATACTAAAGTACTGGGACGATTTTGCGTGAAGTATTTCCCAGTACCATTTAAAGGGATAATAAACCCAAACTCACAATAACATGCAGAGATGGCGTTTGAGACGCTCCACACACATGTACATGATAACAGTTCCTGTGGAACTACTGTGAACAGAGCCGCTACGTGACGCATGTAAATAAAGCGCATATACTGTATAAGAACGGCATCGCATATAATTATTTAATTAAATCGTAGCGTTTGTGAATTCACAATTATGCTTAATTATTTTTAAATGGGTTTAATCGATCATGCAGCCTTGGAAAACAGACTAATAATGTGTTTTATACATTCTCGTCTGTGAAATGCGCCACTTCCGATATTTTGCCGGTTAGTCGACGCGAGCAAAATAAAGTCAAGGATTAAAAAAAAATTTGAATAGTCGAATAAAATCGACGAATCGTGACTAATATCTTTTGCTTGAAATATTACGAACAACAGATGCTAACTATTCTCTATCTGCTTTTCTGTTTCCAGCTCTGGGGTGCGTTTCCCAAAAGCATCGTTAGCTAACTATAGGGCCTTTCGCACCGCTTTAGTTCCAGAACTAAATGTACAATACTAAAGTACTGGGACGATTTTGCGTGAAGTATTTCCCAGTACCATTTAAAGGGTTGAATTCGCACCGACAGTGTGTATTAAGAAGTGACGTAAGCCGGTCGACAGCGACGTCATTTGTGCGCGGCGTTCAACAACAGAAACAAAGAAGAACAACGTTAACAACAGGAGGATGGAGGACACTGTGATCGCAGCTGTGTTTTTGTTGTGTCTCGCGGGTTTCACAATAATGGACATGGAAAGTCGACTTATACGTAAAGCGATTGAAAGAACGAAAAGGAGGACTAAGAATCTCCAACGACACTTCAGCGTCCGTCCATCTATCGCTGTTCTCCATACTTGCGAAATAAGTCGACACAATGTTTACAGTACGTTTACACGGCGTTTTAAATCATGGCGGGTGAGGGCGTTTTCGTACGCGTTTGGCCAATCAATGTCTACTTACGTCACGATTAGTACCAGTTGTGCTGGTTAGACCCTGCTCCGGAGTAGGAGCTAATTTGGTTCTCGAAAAAGGCAGTCCGGTACTAAAATCGCTCCCAGTTCCGGCGGTGCGAACACGCCAAAAAGTGGGTAGTTCCACAATTAGTTCTGGTACTATGAAACGGTTCCTGCGGTGCGAAAGGCCCTTATGGTTGTTAGTTCCACTGAACTCTATTTGCTATTTACTCTAAGTTGCTTTTGGGAAATGCACCCCTGGATAGGCTACTAGAGATGACGCCAGCTCCAGTCTGGATCCAGCCCTTACAAAGAACCGAGATGATCAAACACCTGAGCAGAGAGTTTACATAACTTTACATAATGCCAACCCTGAACCAACATACAAAAATGCCAAATTCTTCTTAAAATACGATCCCCCGTTTTAATAATGTTCATCATCTCTTTTTAAATACCATCATTACCGAACTGCGTGATTTGTATAAATTAAGTAATTTGACACGGTCACCTCTGAAAACAGATAACAGACGCGTAAAGCTACTTTGAAACAATGCATATTGTGGAAAGTTACACAAAAAAAGTGAATGATTTTGCAATACGATTTTTTTTTTCATACTCAATACTGTTTTACGTATATTGTTCTAATACAGATTTAACGTTGCCATTAGTAAAAACTGACGACTCGCCTTGTTGTTTACAAAAAAAATAAGTACAATCAAGTGCTATAAATGAATGGTTAACATTGCTTTTCAACTCAAATGGCGATGTTGTTTGATGTTACACAATTTGTATTCAATTGTCAAATAAAACGGCTTTAATCAGGACAGTCATATACGACGTTCTTCAAAAATAGCATTTATTTCTGTTGAGGTTTAATAGCTCGAATGAGAATGAGAAAACCAACCTGTTTGTTCCTCCGTATCTTCTTGTTTCAGACTGAATACGTCTTCAATCTTTATATCTTCGCTCTCCTCTTTAATAAACGCCATCTTTATAATAGTGAGTCCCGTGGATCTCCGCAGGAGTTTTTAAGGATCTGTTTAAGATAATAATTGACAGAAAGAAAAATAAATTCAAACTAACTCTCAATATGTGTCTCCGTCAGCTCCCTATTTCAGTAGTCGGTGTCGTATATTTGGTATTTAATGATTTGTAAGTTACATTTAATAGATTACAATCGTTGGTTAGTAAAAGCCGTTAGTACACGTGTTTGTTGTTTCCGTTGCATTCCCGCTCTTTTTCTCGTCAGTGTGCGGCGATTCGAACGAACCGAATCACTGAATCACTGAATCACTTTGCAAAGCAATTGATTCAATTGACTGGGAGTTTCAAAACGCTCCGTTTCTCTCATCACAGCGACTGAATCTGCGTTTACTACAAACTACTTCACGATCTAAGCTAGGGAGCGGAGTGAAAAGCGCCGTGTTTGTTAATCATGTTCAGACACGCTTTACTCACAAAAATTTTTTTTTGGATGAAACACTGCAATGAATGATTCATTTTACATCGCTTGTAAAAACTATAACACTGCCTTAACGTTAAAAAAAAACACTTTAAACGCTTAGAAACACCAACCTTTCTTCAGACGAGTCACAGACACAGCAGCGCGGCGCAGTCTCATGACGTCAGGTCACCCAGCCAAAATAAAAGTCTCGTGCGGGAGAGATATTTAAATGCAGAAAACACATGAATAACACACATATGTCAGAGGTATTCAGAGTTTAATTTGTGGTCAACTATATGTAAAAAAAAAAATTTTTTTTTTTAAATACATGGAAGTGATGAAAATAAATATAAATCAAAGAGTAATATGCAAGATGCTGTCATGTTTGAGTGCAGAAGCCTTTGCATTGAATTATTTCACATTGATTTTAATATCATTTAATAAACTGTTGATTATCTTTTGCAAAAAATAAAACATTTGGTATACATTTTGTGTAACATAACACATTTTTGATTATCCTGTGACGTAATAAAGAATCTGTTATTATACTGCTTAGGCTGTAACTCGAGTCTTACTCTGCATTCAATTATTTTGCAGTGATTTAACATTGTTTCATAAATTATTGAGCAATGCTTAATACAAAAAAAACACCTTAGAACTGTTAAACTGAAAGAACACAAATGATCTTTGATATTATTTTGTGACTCGGGTTGGCTCTGTTTTAGCCTTTAGTTCTCCTCATATCTGTTTGTCTTCAGTCAGCACAGCCACTAGTTTATCTCTTCTCTCATTATTACTCGCTCTACATCTCTCCGGTGTCTGTAGCGGTTTCCATTACCCTTCAAATTGAAACTGCGAATTGAAAATACGCCTAATGGAAACACGTCAATTTAGCAACAGCCCCCATATATCACAAAAGAACTAAAAAGTTTTTACACTCACATGAGGTGGTTTTTTTTTAGGCAATTCGAAAAAGTATATATTGCAAAACTGCAAAACTATATTGTAACAATATATTGATAAACTGCAATGGAAATTTGCATTTACAGGTCATCTGGCATACGTAAAAGTCACAAGTTCATTCTTTAATATACTATAACCTCCAAGAAACACCTCATATATGGCCAGGGGCTTTCCTTGGCATTAAAGCTTGGATAACCCCTTATTTATACTGCACATATCTGTGGTGCATTACAGCTCCGACAAGGCCACTCTAGTCAATGCTAATGCTAACGTTTCAGAAGTGCTGCTTTGCTAAAGATACACATCTATGTCTCCTTCAATTAAAAATAACAGCTGTGATATACATAACGCTACCAACATCGATCATCATGACCTATCACGAGAGGGAAAAAAATTATGTTTTAGTCGCACAACATTAAAGGGGTCATTTGACGTTGCTAAAAAGAACATTATTTTGTGTATTTGGTGTAATGAAATGTGTTTAAAAAACATTATTTTCCACATACTGAACATTATTGTTTCTCCTCTATGCCCTGCCTTTCTGAAACGCGTCGATTTTTACAAAGCTCATCGGTCTGAAAAAGCGAGGTGTGCTCTGATTGGCCAGCTATCCAGAGCGTTGTGATTGGCCGAATACCTCAAGCGTGTGACGGAAATGTTACGCCCCTCACCATACTGTGATGCCGTGTCCCGGAGCGACGAGACAAAAACATTAAAACCCATTATAAACGCGGCATTTGTTGCATCCAGTGGGGACATAATTACTGATTATAATGACTTATACTGTCTTTTTACGCGTAGCGTTGCGTATCACGCCATGTAAACATAAAACCATGTCTGCATTTGTGATCAGAGAAATGACAAACAACAAGCGCATACTACAATACTACAGCGAGAATCATAGTTACGCCTTCTTTCTTTGCGTGAACATTTGGGCGGCGTTATGCAAATCTTCCCACATAGTGATGTAGATATGTGGGGGCGTGTTAGAATGAGCCGTTTTAGGTAGGTGTGGCTGACTCTTAACTTTTATAAAGAATATCTCTTTGGATTTGAGACTTTAGTCTTTGCAACTTTACAGATCTTCTTTATGCACCAAGAGCTTGTAACACTCCAAAGAGAAAGGAAAAATTGAAATCGCATCATATGACCCCTTTGATGGAAACGCCGTCATTTCACAATAGTTTTTACCTTAAACACTCTCACACACCGGAAACACTCCCCTACTCACAGTCACACCCCTATTATTTCCAGTATAGAGTACTAATGCTGCTTTCATGTGCTATTGGAAATTTCCTACTTCCCACTTACGAAGTCATGATAACGAGCTTGTCGCATTTAAAGTCTTTGTTGTCAGAAAGAATAAAATGTAGCATCCCATTGTTAGACAAGCATATAAACATTTGCGGCGCTAGATTCTGGAATTTCAGTCAAATACATGCTCATTTCACTGTTTACAATACAAAATACTCTGTATTTTGTGAGTAGGTGCAAAGAATTGGTTGATGTGGTGATATTATAGCGAGATGCTTGTAATTGAATTATATATGTCTTATGTCGTTTCAGGAAGAATGGCTTTTAGAAGTCCCTAAAATATTCCACGTGTGGAAAGTGAAGAATTTGGTCAAATGAGAGAGCCATTTTACTAACTAGAGGTAATTAGTATGCATTTTGTATTATGTTAAACAAACTGCTTTAGTTTTTAATGGTGGTACAAGGGCATGTACTTGGAAATGTTAAGTAAACGTTGTTGTGCTGTTCTGTGTAGTATTCAGTGTTGGATGGGGACAGAGCTGACAGAAGCCATGCATGAGAGTAATGAGGAAATATGCCTGGGCTGGATGCTGAAAGAGTTGGTTGAAGCACACATGAAGTTGGAAGGAAGCTAGAAGTGCATGTGCTAGTGTGTGCCAGGGCCAGTTGCATTTCCACTCTCACTTTTGGGGCTTGATCATGCCGGGTTTTTTGGCCAGACGAAAACCTTGGGCCAAAGTGGGCTTGAGGAGTGGCTATGAACAAAGGCGGAATTCCTCCACGTCTGGAGAGCGTCAGCGCCAAGGGATGATTTCATATAGTTAACAGCAATAACACCAGCATTAAAGACTTTTAAAATCATTTTAGCTTAAACCTTTCCAACAGCAGCAAGTGTTTGTAATAGCTTCTGTTTGAGATCCGATGATCACCATACAAGGCAGAAATATTTATAAGCGATGCAAAAGACTATGCACGCTAGCCATTACCATAGTAAGCATGGTAAATACGACCGCTTGAAGAAATCAGACAAATCATATAGGCTAGGCTATCACAATCATGTACTTATTTACTAACATATTTTATCTGTCACTAGACTTGTCTCTTTACACCTGACTGTCTGATGTTCATATGTAGCTCATGTCATAAAATATAGCTTATCATAATCACAGCTTTTGTTCGGGAGCTCTTCTGCTACTCAGCCGGTTCTGTGATTAGTAGTAAATCTCCATCATGTGCTTTCAGATGGAGAGCATTTAATACACAGAGCCGTAGATCACTGACAAGCTACGCAATATTGCGTTCATTATCGCAGATTAATCGCATTTGATTGTGAACGCGATATTGCGTAGCTTGTCAGTGTAAGTGTTCTTATTAATGCCATTAATGTTTTTGTTAATACAGCGTATAGCACTAATCAACTAAATGAATGTAACATGGCAAAGATGAATGCACTTTTGGAAGTTGAATGCAAGGGAAATTTCTGGAATTTCTGTGGTCTAATGTGATATTGTTGTTCATGTATGTTCATGATGAAATTTTCTTATTTCTTATAAATTTTCCTATTAATTTATAGCATTAACAAGATGACCCGTTGAATTCATTTTGGGAGCGATGACTGATTGAATGTATTTTTAGTCCAGTGCCTGTATATAAGATTACTATTGACCAAGTTCAGAGGCTGTCATATGTGGATCAACTTACTATGTTGTGTATTTTCAACAATTTCAATATGAAAAATAACTTTTATATTGATTCAATGGATTTATTGCATGTTGGGGATTTAGATTTTCAATGTTATTATAACCTAAAGATGCTATGTGAAAGTTTGAAACAGAAAATAGTGGTTTTCATCTTGCCACTTTCTTGGTAAAGAAAACACATTTTTACTCAAATTCAATCAAAATGGATTTATAGCGTTTTGGAACCAAACTCTTCATATATATTTGGACACTGACACGATTTTTATAATTTCGGCTCTGTATGCAACCAGAATAGGATTAAAATAAAACAATCAAGAGGAAATTGAAGTGCAGACTTTAAGCTTTAATTCAAGGGGTTGAACAAAAATATAACATAAAATGCTTAGGAATTACAACCATTTTTATACACAGTCCCCCCATTTTCAGAGGGTCAAATTTCATTGGACAAATAAATGTAATCATAAATAAAATGTTCATTTTTAATATTTTGTTGAGAATACTTTGCAGGCAATGACTGCCTTAAGTCTGGAACTCGTGGACATTACCAGAGACTGGGTTTCTCCTTTTTGATGCTTCGCCAGGCCTTTACAGCAGCTGACTTCAGTTGTTGTTTGTTTGTGAGTCTTTCTGCCTTTAATTTTTGGTGCTTTTCCACCACATGGTACGGCTCGGTACGGTTCACTTTTGGGGGGTTTTCCACTGGGTACAGTACCTGGTACTATT